ATTTCTGCAAAGGCCCCGAGGGCAGAACTGAAAAATGCAGTATTTGAAAGTGGCGCCCGAATTGCAGCATGGCGCCAGTTGTCCAAAATCCTACGGTACCAAAGGAGGGGTTTGGAAAAAGAGTGCCAGGCCGAAAACGGGGTACAGCCGAAACAGCAAAAGATAGACCAGGGATCGAGCCCYGGCGAAGTCCGTAACAAGTGGTATACAAGAAGAGGGAAGAAGGAAATGGGAGGTGGAGTTCTGACATGGTTCTAAATAGTCACCGCTGGAGCAGACCACTCTAGAATGTCATGTAAGGCCAATCAGTGTTTGGGTTGCATAAGATTTGAATTGAGGAGCAGTCGTTACCTATGGTAAGTTGCCACCTCTACAGACTGGACACGACCGGTTCGGATGTGGACTGTGGAAGCACCGCTTCCAGTTCTCGCAGTCACAGTTGCTGCATTGAACGACACAGAGTTGACGGATGTCACAGGCTACACGGCTCCTACATGCAAGGAACACAGAGGCACACCGACCACAATTGTAGAGGCATTGCCATTCCAGCCCCTGTCTAGAAATTGGACATGACATGTCAGTGTGCCGTACATGAGTGCAGTATTAACTGTTATCATACGTATGAAGTTATTATGAAGTAGTATGAACATAATAACTCGCATGGGCTATCCGTTCACAATCCTCACAGCACAATGCGTGCGAACCATATGCTAGCTGAATCTCCAGTGTGTCATCACAAAGTGGCATTGAGCAGGTTTCTTGGGTTTCCTCAGCATTTATCCCCTCTCTACATCACAAAGCGGCATTGAGCAGGTTTCTTCACCATTTATTCCCTCTCCATAGGCAGACGACGACTTTGGGCATTGATCCAAAGCAAGGTTGTTTAGTTGCTGAAGGATTTGGTCTACAACAGCTCACCTTGGTGGTGATAACCTATCAGTACAACGCTCGGTAGGGTGCTAGGGGGTTCATATGGTAGTCTATTTTCGTACTCAGGCTGCTCCATCTGTCATTCGTCTGGCAAGGAAGAAGGAAATCTGTCTGTAGTTGCAATAGGTGTATGCCCAATACCGCATGCGGGACATGTGAGGAGAGGACGTGGTGGATGATGGGACCAGGGATAGTCCACGCAGTAGAGACACATGCTCTCTATGACAGCTTCCTGGAAACATTGACAACACGTGGCATGTTGCTGACATGTCAGCAGTGATGAAGGTTGATGTGCACAACTATTTAAGCGTGGCAGATCAAGGCCACAACAGCATGCTGGGAAAGTAATTAGGGGGTGGAGGGGATGAGCACAATACAAAGGGTCACGGTTTTCGTGGCAGAGGCTGGCAGTGACCATCCCTTCATAGTGTTCAGAGCAGAGTCTATGCCGTGTAGATGCTAACCGAACTGTAGCTGTGCGATGACACAGTGGGAGGGCACAACCACCATCCTCTGGAGAGCTCCCTTCACTGGTCGTGGTAGAATCGGTCCGATCCACATAGGAAGGGGACGCTGCCTGACCATGCACAGCGAAAGGAGGTTCAGCCAGATTGCTCGCCGGAGGCTGTAGTTCTCGCGAGTGCTCATCGACATACTGTTCCAGATGGACGAGCCAGACCGAGTGATGTTCTACCGCTTGGTGATAGAAAATAGTTAATATTTCCTGCTGTGTGCACCCTACCACCATTGTCCCATAGGGTCCATGAATTATCCTCAAAGGTAACAACATTGAAATGACCTGGGCGATGTAAGATGTAAGGCTGATGAATCCATGCCTGGGATGTGATTTTGTGAAGCAGGCTGGAGTTGTAGTTGCCTACCCATAAATACCATAGACAAGACTTCTATGTCAATGCCAGGTGTGATACTGTCGTCCTCTGGGCAGACGGCACAGTGCTCTTCTTCTATCCGGCGGACAACATCTGCAACATCAGAAACAGTATAAGGGTTGCAACTGTAAGCAAGGATACATTAATGGCATAGTACACACAACGACCTCGCTGTAGCACTATGACATCGTCAGATTCTGCAGGTTGTGTGGCAGGGGGAGGTTCATCCACTTCTGCAGATTGCACAGCAGGCGGAGATTCATTGCAGTCTTGACTATGTCTGTCAGGTTCCTCCGGTTGTATTAACTCCATTGGATCGAGCATGTGCTCCGGAGAGAGATCATCTCGAGCCGGGGGTTCCATCAAGTGATTCGAAGGTGGATCATTGTCATTTGGGGCGGGTGAGCAAGCAGGGTTAGGTGGATGAGAAATAGGCAGGTCAGATGCAGGAAGCGGAGGTTGGTCAGCCGCACTTGTGCTCAGAGTGGCTGCTAGTCATGCGAATGCTGCGCAGGTAGCTGCACCTCATGTCTGGTGCACACGCAGGCCTGCAACACTGAAGAAATCATCGCCACATTGCAGGCATCGGACTCGATATGTACTATTCCTGGCTAATGTATATTGAAAGCGATGATGTATTTCCCTATAGTTGCAAGCATGTTGTCGGAGCAGATCTCGAACTCCTGCAGGGCCGTGGTAATCATGCTGTTCCAAGGCAAACGAGGCCGCTGTCGTGGAGACGGGGAACGTATCCGTCGAAGAGGCATATGTGACGGTCGATCCGACGCTTGATGCCTCTGCTGACAGGGCCTATGTGACGGCTGATCTGACCATGGATGTGCTGATGATGAGGTCGATGACGAAGGGGAGGTATGCGAGGTGGAGAATGCGGAGGAGGAAGAGGGAGAAGAGGATAAGAAAGGGAGGCAAATGACGGAGGGGATGATGTAGTAGGAGATGTCAGCGGGGGAGGTAGTGGTGATGGTGGTGGTGTTGGTGGTGGTGGTGGTGGTCGCCGGGGTGGCGATGGTGGTGGAGTGGGAGGTGGCGGTGCACTTCCAGAAGCAGTCGCCATATTGGTAGGATGGAAGCCTTCATCCCTTGCAGCCATTACAACAATGTTTACGCTATTTGTTGCGGCTGGCATGGTCTCGAGCTGAGTTGGCGTATCCACATTAGCGTCTGGCATCTCAGCAGGGCTAACAAGAGAGGGTGGGCCCGCTGCGTTTGATTGTGAGGAGGTTTTATGCTGCTGCAGCCTGCGGTCAGCATTGGCGTTAGGGAGTGGGTCGTGGCCTGCTGCGTGTGTTGTGTGGAGGACCTGTGTGCAAAATTAGCATGCAGCAGTGGGTGAGCAATCGCCCAGCGCACCATGCAGCGAGACCAGTTCTAAAGCTGTGTGACATTAGTGGGTAGCCGACACTGTCGGCTACGCACATATGCAGTCCAGCCTCTGGCCAGGACACTGGGAGGATGTGTCAAGGAAGTCACTGCAACTTGAAGTCGGTAGTATTGTTACAGATATGTTCGAACCTCGTAAGCTGTTCCGTGCGGTCTGATGAGCCGGGACATTCGAAGTAGCACTGGAATATTGTATAACAGGGAATGTCCAGTCCTTAGCCTTATAATACACACCAATGCGAAGTGAGCTGTCTGGCCAAACCACGATTCTAGCCCAAAGGAAAAGACATGACCCATTGTAACGAGCGCGAGGGTGAGGGAGAGCCGAGGGAGAGGAGAGAGAGAGAGGGAGAGAGTGAGAGCACACAGACACACTCACTAATTGACACGACTGAGGGTTGGACGCAGACACAGTGGCCAGGGCACAAAGTCAAAGTCTTGGATTCCCGAATGCCGAAACAGCAAGTCACACTGAGTACGAGTACAGCAGCTGGAAACTGGTACGAGACTCGTCCCCGTACTGTAGGGGGAGCCGGTATAAGTACCGGTGACACGTACGGTACCAGAGGCATTTCCGCAAAAGCCCCGAGGGCAGAACTGAAAAATGCGGTATTTGAAAGTGGCGCCCGAATTGCAGCATGGCGCCAGTTGTCCAAAATCCGACGGTACCAAAGGAGGGGTTTGGAAAAAGGGTGCCAGGTCGAAAATGGGATGCAGCAGAAACAGCAAAAAGATAGACCAGGGATCAAGCCCTGGCGGAGTCCGTAACACCCATCTTGCTCAATAGTGTCTTTCCACTCAAGACCTTAGCACGCAGGGGAGGGCGGAGATGTCTTCCCTACACTTGTAGAAATTGCAAACGTCTGAATTGGGCTATCTGGGGCGCCCACGGTCCTACCGGCCCGACGGTCCGGATTTCTGCGCGATCTTAAGACTTCAAGACTTTAAGATTGCGCAACGATCCAGGCCTGCCGAACGGCCTGGATCATCGCATGATCTTAAAGACTTGAGGTCGTGGGACAATCCAGGCCATCGGCCCGATAGGTCCACGGTCCTCTGGCCTGAGGTTATGCTAAGCCATTGCCACCAATAATCCCTCCTGCTTTGTATGTGGAAAATAGTTGTCCTCTTGCTATGCTTTCCAGGCTGTGCTTGGAATGATGTAGGCACATGCATGGTCCCTTGAACAGTTGTATTATTAATGTTAGCGCCCCTCCCCACCCCCCCCACCCCTCTGCTCTCTCTCTCTCTCTCTCTCTCTCTCTCTCTCTCTCTCTCTCTCTCTCTCTCTCTCTCTCTCTCTCTCTCTCTGCCAACCCATTGTCCCTTTCCCATTCTTTCTTGTTTTCAGGCTGGTGGCAGGTACAGAAGTTGCATTGCGCTCAAAAGATGAAATATTTACAATTCTGCACCTGAAGAAGCTTGCATCTGC